CTTCTACTACTACTACTACTACTACTACTACTGCTACTGCTACTACTACTACTACTACTACTACTACTACTACTACGAATACTACTACTACAACTACTACTACTACTACTACTACTACTACTACTACTGCTTCCAGTACTACGGCGACGACGACTATGACTACTACTACTACTACTACTACTACTACTACCGCTGCTTCTACTTCCATTGCCACTTCGACTTTTACTGCTGCTGCTGCTCCTGCTTGCCCTCTTCGAACATGGTCATCTCACCATCATCGCCCTGATGGATCGTCATCATCATCGCCGCAATCTAATCGTACCAAGGTTCTTGAATGCATTTTGCTGATGAGGCCAACCTGCTAGTAATCACTGTAATTAAGAATATGGTTACCAGAAAAAGAGCCTCACATGTAGTCATGCTGCTATCCACCGTGACACCAGATCAGAGTTTGAACCGCAACATTGCAGACCTTTTGGACAAGTGCCCCTACTGCAGCTTAGGCTCGGGACTGATGAGAAAAAGTTCAGGTTGAGCCAGGTATGCTAGAATGCAGAAGCGGCAATTTTGGTAAGCCGGATATGAGACTGCGTAAAGTGTAGCTGAGTCCGTTACTGCATTTGAGGTGCTGTGTATTTGTCAAACTGGTCACCGGATGGCAACCTGCCCGGCATCCCAATCTGCGCTTGCTGCCAGGAACAACACTGTTCCTTCCGCCATGAGCTCGGCAGCACAGGTTTCCTCGTGGCGTGGTGCTTGAAACCATGAGCCGCCAAGACTGGCCTTGGGTGAGCCTCTCATCGCCGAGCCATTCTGTTTCAGCATACTGACAACTAGAGAGGGTGTCACCTTTGCCGGGGGAAATTGGTTCACAGGGTTGTGCAGGCTCGCGACCAAGGAGCTTGAGATTCGTCAGGTTTTGAGCTGAGACGGGGGAGGTGCAGCACCGGCACACCAGGCTACATTTCATCCAACAGGGCGGCAGCTTTCAAACGTTCTTCCTAGCGGGCGTGGAGCTCTACTGAAGTAAGCCCTTGAGATCCCAAGGGTCTGACATCTGCAAGTCTGTAAATGTAAGCTGCAATATCGGAAGCTGAATCACGAATGCGTTAACAGACTCTGACAGGCAACCCTCAACTCAAACTCTCACAACCTTGCACTCGAAGCCCCCTGCTACTAGGTTTTACCACATACTACAGGCGAACCCGTCAACCATTCTCATGATCTGAAGCTTCCAAGGCCTCTTCCGCCGACCACCGCGACGACGACCACCACCACCGAAGACAAGATACAGATCATCATTGACGTGGAGGAATGTGAGGGGTCTGTGACGGTCTGGGGTGTGTTTTTTCAACTCCTACTAACGGTTGAGGGTTTTTGGTTGAGGTGGTCAGGGATTCGGGCTCGGAGGCGTGAGGAAACTTCGGCATCCTGAACCCCGAAGAGCCTAAACTCCAAGCTTTAAACCGCTCCATCCTGCACCGGCATTGCCCCTGCATCCCTTCAGACCCCAATCATCCCAATCCTTAAATATGCTGCGCCAGGAGGGGCTTCCCGGCTGGGCCGCACTCGCCTCAGTCGTTCTGGGCACTTGGGGCAATTTAGGCCTTCTCCTGTAGAGCAACTCTTTTGTGGTTGTTGCATTAGCTGAAGCTCCATTCGTAGAGGTTCGTTGGGCGTGAAAGGAATGCTTGACTGAGTTTTGCAGGGCATTTGACTGATTTTTCTGAACTTGGGACTCGACCCTCTTCAGGGCTGTCTGGCTTGGGGGCTGCTCGAGCTTCTGTTGCTTCTCCCGAGCGTGCAACAGATATGAATCGAAAGGGCTTGGACGGGCGGGACGGAGCACGGACTGCTTTGTGAAGGAAACGAGTGGAGATGGGTATGCTATAGGGATTGAGAAGCTGGCCTCGAAGGAAGATGACGAGCCTGGCAATTACAGTCCTTCTTAATTATGGAAGGATTCAATTCCCGCGCCCATGTGAGGCAGCTGTAGGCAAAGTGTTGAAATCCGTGAGCATTCCGATTCGGATACTACCCGTCTCCAGCACATCCCGGTTTGGATAAGTGTCGTGCTGAGATGGAAGTCACGATTGAAGAAGACCTCTGGAAGAAGTTAGCTCCATGAACGGGCCTGCCCAAACGAGTTGTTGATCACCCCCCCTAAAACCCGTCGGGTGAGAAACTCTACAGCGGCGACCGCTTTTGCAGATTGGCGTCTTCTGTATCCTGCTACTGCTGGCCTGGACCTCGAGTGTAGGGTTTGTAGCTTCAGGGTTTGCAGTGCCATCCAATTTTGGTGTCGACAGTGCCCGGACTGCATCCTGTTCGAGCCTTGGTCCTGCGTCCCTCCTGTCACCCTTGGTGACGACCTAACGACCAAAGCCTCAGACACCTTCGGACATCTGCTGCGCTAGGTGGTCTTTCTGTGCGGCTACGTCTGGAAACTGCGCCAGAAGAAGCAAAGGCGAGCAGCGGTGCATCGGCCGTTCCGTCCTACCTCATGTCACAGATGCTTGCTGTTGTCAGTTTGGTTTTCGGCACTCGATGTGCAATCCAATGCCATGAGCTAGTCGATATGTTAGCGGGTGATCCTATGTGATCCTTGTTTGGCAGTTGCCGTGATCACGTGGATGCTCTCTGCCAGGCGAGAGGCGCAGGTTCAGCGGCTGAAGGACAAGCCAGCGGCCAAGGTCTTCATGTGTCGCTTTCGACACACTCCGGCCTCTAGCACGGTAGTGGTCGTGTTGCCGGTGCTGCCGCTGCCCCTGCCGGTGCCGCCGGTGCCCCTGCAGCAGCTGCTGCTGCTTCTGCTAAATCCGTTGCACTGCCACAACCATCTACGACCACGACGACGTCGACCGCCTCAGTAGTGATGACTGATGTTTGTGCTTGATCGTTTGCATTCTGTCCAGGAGCCCTCTCCTGTGTTGTTCCGCATTCGAGATTCTGTTTTGCACTGACCACACGCCCTCTCTCTCCCGTGCTCCCGAATCTGAGGGCAGCCAAGAGCCGCAGTGAAGAGGAGCTGGTGCAGGAGATGTGGGAGACGGTCGGCCCCTCATGCATCAGTGATAGGGAGGCTCTCTTGACTGGAGCTTTCTAGGATTATGTACAAGTATGGCTCTGATCTCCATCCTTAATCCCTCTTGCTGATAGTGCTGAGCATGGTTATATTCATAGTGTTGAGCATGGTTCTTTCCGGACAACTCAAGCCATTGCTGTATCAGGGAGACAGGTCGGAATGAATGAGCGGTTGCCATCTTATCCCACGAAGAAGATGAGCATCACAGAGCGACTGCCATTTCCAGGTGGCTCAAGGTGAGTTCTGGTCCCTTGAAGTTCACAAACGAAAAAGGGGGGCCTGATTTCGCCCTTCGAGGCGAGAGCCTCCTGTCTTCATGGCTAAAGATCGCTCCTGTCCAACAGTGAGACATCTTTGGCAGAATAGGAATGGGGGTTTCCGAAAATAGGGGACCCTAATATAGTACCCTAAATAGTAGGATCCCTATTATAAGGACCCCAAAATAATTTTCTGAAACTCCCGAATCGGCCTGCAGAACTGGCGAGTGACTGCGCGGGAAGCCATGCCAAGGCTCTCACCGACGACACAGGCAAACTCAAGACTGGTGTGGAGGCCAGGGCTGGGTTTTCATGTCATGGTATGAGCTGCTGTGAACAGGAGATGTTGTCGCAGACATAGGTTCTGTGGTGCACCGATGGAGCCCTCCGCCGAATCAGACTGTCCGCACAGTGTGGTAGGTGTACGCTAACATGGGGCAGGCAAGCCAAAGTCTGCTCACACGCATCCCTGTCGCTTCTATATGCGGCAAGCTGTGTTGCACGTACACGAAGCAGAAAGCATTGTGCACAAGCAGTCTTCGAGATTCAGGTGCAGAATTGGCTTGGTGAATTTTGCTGCTGCCAAAAAGAACGCCGCCCAGCAAGGAGACGCTTGAACTCCCAGATGGTTCCAGCTACATCGGAGGGCCACGCCCCCGGCAGTGCGGCGGTTCCAAACAGTCACGACATCATCGTAAAGCATGAAGGCATGTAGAGTAATGTAGAGGCTGCAAGGCTGTTGATTTGCAGATGCATGCACATGCCCTCGGAGAAGGAGTGGTAGTCGTGGTCATTGTCTCATCGACGGCAGCAGCACCACCAGCAGCAGTGTTTATTAGCCAGCCTCGGTAAAGAACTTTGATTTGTCTTAGTCATCGCGGATTGTTGTGTGTGGCTGCCGATTCATGAGACAATGCGGCTCCTTGTTGCGAGTTGGACGCGGTCCTTCAAGAGTGTTGTGACGAGAGGCATTTGTTGAGGGAGCTCCAGAGGCAATCGAAGTCAAGAACGCTGCCTTACATGCACCGAGGCTGCAAGACGGCGATCCACAAGGAGTTGGGAAGATGGTTTGGCCCGACGGGAGGACACCCTGAGCGCAAGAGTACCACATCACTGTACCGTGCCTAGTGCCCAGTGACCTCGAAGCCTTGGTTGTGGGCTTGCTGATGGCCGCATCTCGGTGCTTAGCCAGCGGGTGTCCAAGGGTCTGATCAGCCCTTAGATTCAAAGCTGATTTCTCTGCCAGGACATACCACGGCAACTGGGTCTTCGGCCAGCCCCATGGACAAGGGGCCACGCTTTGCGCAATTTCGGTCATTCTGTGGTGCCACTGCCCGTTGCTTCAGTCTTCTTCTGAGCCTGCTTGCTAGTGACGCAGTCGTTACTGCTGTGTACTAACCAAACCGTCAGTGCAATCCGTGGCAGCCAGGTGATGTCGTCCATAGCCCCAGTGGAGGCTGAGTATGAGACCTGGGTCTACAGCGGCCAATTCCAGGATGGGCTCAGGACCGTGCCGTGCTCTGAATATAAGCACTTGAGGCATCACAGACGAAGAAGGATCAGATTAATACACGGTGGACCATGCATTGACAAGGTACTGTAGCAGTGCATACAGTCGTTAGAGCGCAGATCAATCATCATTGACGGCATCAGCATGGTCCTTGTCACCATCATCTGCAGCACCGTCATCATCACCGACCAGTGTCCCGTACAGGTCTCGCCTTCTCGCTGAGGTTAACGTCCATCCTAGATTCAGGCAGTCTACAAAGTTGCACCGCAAACCTATCGGAACAAAACAGCTTTCCATGTTTAGTCCGACCGTTGATTCGCCGTTTGCGCCGCCTCTTTCATCTAAGGACTTTAGGAGGGACCCCTAATAGGGACCCTTAATCCCATTACCTTAAACAACCATTGTATAGTCCTTATATACCCCTTATATAGCCAGATAGTTTCCATATTAACCCCAATACCCTACAAGGGTCCCTAACAAGGGTCCCTCCTAGAGCCCTTAGATTTTCATCGTTCTCGAGATCAATCCGGCTTTCGCGGTGCGACCCCAAACAGACCAAATCAAATCTCTGCAAAGCCCTGCATGAATTAAGAAGTTTTCTCGAGAAACAGATCACCTCTTCACTGCAGGCATGGTGTGGGCCGGTGTGAGTGGCCCGCTGTGGGTGCGTGGTACGAGGGGGCCTGGTCTCCCAGAAGCTTTCAATTTCTTTTGGTTTAAAGTTTGCTGGACCCAGAGAACATGGAGCCTGTGCTCTTTGGGTATGAGTTTTGGGGTGCTGGCTTCACGTTCAGGACTTGGGGTCAGGGAGTCTTGACGACAGGAGCTTTTGGACACAGCATCGCGGTTCATGGCTTGGCGCAATCCGTCTCTGTTGGGACCGGCACCATGCAAAATACCTGCCTCTTCGGATACCAGCAACACGACATGAGGAGCAGGAGCAGCAACGGCAATACTGTCACTGCTAGTACGAAGACAGATACTCTTGTCCAGGCAAGGACAACGGCAAGCGTCTGAACATCTCTGAGCGGCAAGTCCTCCGAGCTCGTGTCTAGGGAGCATGGCCATTGTAGCCCAAAGTTGCTGCAAAGCATGAAGCTTGAGGAGATGATGAAGCCAATTTCGGGAGTTTGGCGCTGCCTGAGGTTGTATTCAAGACAGGGCACAGGATGTCGGGTTTACGATTCGTTTCAGCACAAGGGCTGCAGGCTAGACTGCAATTTGCGAAACAACGAGACTGTGTATAAATACGACCCCTTTACTGGTAGCAAAGCAAGTAAGTGGGTACCCACTACCCACATCTGCACCTCTGAAGGATTGGGTTCTCGATGCTGAGCATGGCCTCGGTGAGCTGGGTGCCGGAGCTACTGAGAGTTCCTACCCAAGAGCTGCACAGCATTTGAATTCATTTGAAGTTCTTCGCTGATGCGTCAAATCTGACATCCGGGTTTGGCGCCTTCGGGCAGGCTTGGTCTGTGGAGGTTTACCTTGCAGTGCATTGTAAAGCCAGGAAGCTGCGAAGAACAAGTCGACGTTTTTGGTCTGGCATTTTGATGATCGGTGTTACTTTTGTTTCCATGCCAAAAATGCATACATAGAGGGTACACTACGAAATAGTGAGAAGATGTTTGAGGCTGCTGACATGGGGTGAGGCTGAGATTGTATTTGTTGGCAGAGTGCCACTGAAAGTGATGCTAGAACGTGAGCTGCGGCGCTGAAATGCTTGCTGTATGGAAAGGACAGGCTCACAAGTCAACCACAAATTTCGCATAGCAGTTTCCACGGTAATCTAAGTAGACCGCGCCAGGTATAGAAGAACGTCCTGCCAGACATAGCACAGCACCCTGCAGAACCCTGCTCTAGCGGCGCCAGCTGAACAGTTCTTAATGGGGTCATGACATAATTAAATCACCTCACCCCACCCATCTTTTTGGGAAGCGAATACAATTTGAATACAATCCCTGTAGAACCCTCGGAAGAACCTGCAAAACTAGACTAACCCCTCTGAATGGAAGCGTTTCCAGGTCAGGATGGCGACCCCCATGTGTGGTGCATGTACAATGGTGAGAAGCAGGACTCGAACTCGGCGACAAGGGGCCTGTGCTTCGGAAAAGGATTTGACCAGGACTATGAATCACCGTACCTTCCTAAACATAAGATGCAAACGAAGCGTCTGAACCCTCAACCTTCTGTAGCTTGAGAATCTACGTCCAAGGACACTGCGCCGGAGCCTGGAACTACAAGTTGGAGATGTCCTGTGTTTCTCCTGACGCCCTGAGGAGAACGTGGCTACCAGCCGAGTTTTCCCCGGTCCGGAGGATGAGCTCATGGTGGTGGTGCTCCAGGCAGGAGAGTTTAGGAGGACTGCCATGATCCATGCGCATTGCTGACCGGTCCTAAACATTGCGATAGCGAACGACGACAATGAAACTAATCGTAACAGTAACTATTTACTCTGACTAGCAAAACGTGAGAAACAAGAACTGGCAATAGTCATGGCAATGACAACGACGAAAGCAGCAATAATACTGCTAGACGTTATTGCCCCTAAGATGTCCTGCAGTTTGAGGATCCCGTGGGGATGTTTCGCGGTCTCATTTGACAGCGCACGGATGTGTGTGAAATCTGGGGGTGGAGCTGCAAGTTAGCTATCTTGTCGGGCAAGCTCGGGCTTGTGAGTTGGATTTTCGGTATCGTTGGATGTGTTGGGTGGGGACTGCTCATAGCAGATCCGAAACAAAAGTTGCCAGCATACTCCGAACACAGTGTCTGCACGGGCAGTTCAAAGCATAGCCCGCCAGCTTTCTTCTGACAAAGGCGACCATCTACCCCACAGTTTGACCAGAACTTGACCAAGCCTGTCCTGTCAGAGAAGCGCCGCAGACCCTTCACGTTGGGGCTTGAGGTTCGGTTCTGGCACCAGCATGGCACGGAAACTAGAGGATCAACCACTGCTTTGGAATTCGTGGTGCCCCAGGCATTATTTCAATCAGGTTCCCTTCAAAGCGGATCTTTTCGCGAGGAGTAACTCGAACGATTCGATGGACCCTTTAGCCTGAAGACGCCTTCAATCCCAAGCTCTGCACCCTACGTAGCTTAAACGAGACTTCAACGCACAAGCCTTCGAAACCCAAGCACGGTATCCAAGGTCTGTCACCAACCCTACATGAAACCTCTGAGACCCCACCGAATACTGCGAAACTATGTAGCTTCTCAGCACTCGTGACAGGCCAGAGAGAAGGAGGCTGCGGAGCTGGACGACGTCGAACTTCACCTGAAGAGATATGGCGAGCCCTGGGTTTAGGTTACGCATAGGCCCGGCCCCATAGTAGCTCCCTTTCGGATTCCATAGTAGAATCCTAAATATAAGCCACAAAAAGGAACTGCTTTAGGGCCTATATAGGTAGAGTTTGGTAGAGTTTAGTAGAGCAGGGACCGGAGCCTTTGGGTTAGGATCTATGAGGGTTTGGGGCTCTCGAGGGGCACCATGGCACTATGGGATGTGGGATTTGCAGTTTGGGGGGGTTAGGATTTTGCGTTGGCAGGGGTTGGAAGGGCTCGGGGATTAGGATTGTGCTTTGTATACGGTTTAGGACCTGTTGATTCGGGTTTACTGATTAGGATTGATGATCGCAACTATAATAATTCCTGGCTTTATCGTCCCGATGTTGTGCGGCACATGATTTGCCAAAGCCTGAGCCAACGTACATAGTTCTGAGAGGACCTTGCGGGGGCTTACGATGTTCTGCACTTCTAGAAACAGCGTCGGGTTATGGTTGAGCCCAGGTAGTCGCAAGAAGCTAAAGGCCCAGCCTGGTTGGAACAATCCTGTCCGTCATTGAATCGACTCACAAGGTATGATCGTGCTCCGTGTCGTGTTTCGAAAGGAGCCCCAACATTCAGAATTTGCAGTGGTGCCCACCGCCTGATCACACAGCGGATACTGTCAGTACGGTGCACATGGCAGGTTTGTCGGTTGGCAACCCGCATGTCTGGGTGGCACGGCATTGGAGTGCCACGACCTCAGAGCAACAGCTTGCACTCAATGTGTCGGAAATGTCGTGCGAGTTGAAAAAGATGCAACCAGTTGATAGTGCACCTATGCCGGTAGCTGCAGGCAGTAGCTTCAACTTTCTGCTGTTTTACTCTGGCCGCTGCTCCGCAGCTGAGCTTGATCCGCTCAAATTAGAGATCAAAGGCCTTCGAGAGATGGTGGATGATCCGGAGCTGTTGACTCCAATTAGTTTATTATGCGACTTTCAGGAAATCCCCACCTTGTTTGAAGCGGATCTTTCGAAGCAGTTGCGAGCCAGAAACACATCCTGAAAGCCGTGAGGCGTTCGTGGTGACCTGGGTCCAGCAGGCGCTGTTTGCGAGCTTTCATGCATGCGGCACGCCCGACTGCTGAGCCATCTGTTTGGCTAAGCAGACGGCTTGCTCTAGCAAGCGCAGACTCGTGCCGCATATGCAGGCTACAATCGTCCATCTTCGACGACCCAAACTTAATGCGATAACGTAGTAGTTCAAACTTGCAACCCAGTACATCCACTGTAACCTTGAAGAGCCCACAGTCCAGCACCTTGT